CCCGAGAATGATATTTAACAGTGATACACTATAGACTTTTGTGCACATTCCGGCGATTGAATTTATTGAGATCTGCTGTTGACGTGTGTAATCCTTGCATACAGTGTTTCCCTGTAGACTTTTGTAGTTTTTGGCCTGCACGCTCTGGCGACGGAATTATCCGAGTCAGAAATGCTCTGCTTTAAACTTTTTAAACATTTGTACCAAATAGTATATTTGCGACTATAGGCGATATGGCGAGTGACAATGAAGGCAAAGTGGATTTTCCACGTAATGTCGAGCGGGTACAGATGTTGGCATCCACAATGAAGCTGAATCCAAACACAGCTTCCGAATTAATTAGACTTGGTTTCGATTCTATGGAAGCGATGTCAATGATTAAAAAAGACGACATGCCAGCTTTTAATATTCCGCTTGGGCAGCAAAAAGTGTTGATGCGAGCAGTTGGAAAAACTTTCAGGGACGGTCGCGCTGAAGCTTGGAATATGGCGGACAAGCACCCTTACGGAAATCAAAACGAGGCTACACAGAGAACTTCCGCTAGGATACAAAATGGCGGCAACAGCAACCAAGATGGCGACGGTGTAAACAACAAAGATGGCGACGATGTAAACAACAAAGATGGCGGCGCCCATACGTCAAACCCACGATCGTAGGATGCCTATGTGCAAGAGATCCTAAAGATGATGTCTAGGGAGAATAACAGTACAGGACAATTTGTGAATGACTCTCATAATTCTTCCACAGGTAGAGACAATTTGCTGGTCAATGACATTTACTCATGGAAAGACCCTCAAATATTTTTTAAGTCTACAAATTTTGATCCTAATGTGAATTTCTTTGATATAACTGATTTTGTACCTAATACTTTAGGTGGGCACTCAGAATCAGAGGAATTAGTTTCGGAATCGTCAGGGGGCAAATTAGTTTTCAAATCTGGGCCTGTCAAGCCAAAAATAGAAACATTGTCGGTAACACAATGGTCTATGGCTAATTTGTCCATAATGCATAAGTTGATAGCTATAGGAGAGTTACAATCAGCCGAAGTTATGGATTATTTATCTTATACTATGCGCATTTATCTTTTTCTTTCGAGCTGTGAGTTGGTGTCTGTTTTTTTCCTTGATCGGGAATACCGACGCCTGCAAAAGCAACACCAATTTAGATGGGGTACAGACATTCCCCATCTCCCGCGCCATTCTGTATTTTTGAGGCCAAAGTTTTTGCAGAGTCAGAATTCCCGCATTACACCTCAAACTCAGCTCGAAAGTAATGGCTAATAAACATGCAGTTACATATGCTTCTCATTCTCCGGGGGGAGGGGGGAAGGATGATTTGCAAGAAATTCAATAGTCGTAGAGGCTGTTTTATGCCACACTGTAAGTTTGAGCATTCATGTGCTATACCTGCATGTGCTGAAAAGCACCCAGCATTTCAGCATACAAAAAACTAGATACAATGGTGAAGCCTACGAGTGCTCCTGATCTAATTTCATGGACTAATGATTTGTGATGATTTTGACAAAGAATTTTATTATTTGGCATAGAACATGGATTTGACATTGTCACGAATGTCCCCCTACCAGAGAATGTACGCTCCAGAAATCATCCTTCTGCAAAGCCTAGTAGCCCTATTTACAAACAGGCACATAAACAAATTTTAACAGAAATTGATAACGGAAACAATATTTTTCTTCAAATCCCCCCAAAAAATTATCAGTCCGCTTGGGGTTATCCCTAAATCTGATGGCGGAGTTCGAATTATTCATGATTGCAGCAGACCAATAGGTTCTGCAGTAAATGATTTTGCAGAATTTGATAAACAAAAAAATTTAAACAGTAGATGATGCATGCAAGTTAGTTTCAAAAAAATTTTATATGTCAAAAGTGGACCTAAAGGCCGCTTACAGATCTGTCAAAATGAGTGAACAAAGTAGAGAGGTAACTGGGCTTACATGGACTTTTCCTGATGGTCATGATTACACTTTCATAGATAAAAAACTTTCGTTTGGATCAAAATTAGCACTTGGTATTTTTCATAGATTATCTCAGGCAATTCGCAGAATGATGTCACGTAGAGGCTTCACCATTGTGGCATATTTAGATGATTTTTTTATTTGCGAAAAGACAAAGAAGCGCTGCGCTCAGGCGTTAGCAATTTTAATTGCGCTGCTCAGGAAGTTAGGTTTTTGTATCAGCTGGTCTAAAGTAACAGACCCCTGCCAACAGATTGTATTTTTAGGGGTTGAGATAGATTCTACCACTTTATAAACTAGACTTCCTACTGCAAAATTGCATGTCATTGATTTGAAATCAGAATTAGCTGAATTTTTATTACGTAAGCGTGCTTCAAAAAAGCAATTGCAATCTTTAGCGGGAAAGCTTAATTGGGCGTCTGCTGTGGTTCGAGGCGGGATAGTTTTTCTACGTAGAATTATAAACGCCATCATGCGATTAAAGCTAGATTGGCATAAATTGCGTCTGACAGGCGAAATATTGCAAGATATAAAGTGGTGGCATAACTTTATTTCAACTTTTAATGGGAAGTCAATTTTACTTGCAAAGGTTCCTATCACCTCTGTAGCTACTGATGCTTGTAAATCAGGTTGAGGGGGTGTCTACCAAAATGATTGGTTTTATGTAAATTGGGCAGAAGATCACCTCTTTGCTTTGAAACTTCACATAAATGAATTAGAGGCTTTCTCAGTGGCGTTAGCAGTAAAGCGATGGGCCCCATATTGGCGGGGTCAGCGTATTATAGTTCATTGCGATAATGCGGTAACTGTAAAAGAGGGACGAAAGATACCAGAGGGACAGTCAAACTCATAGATCGAAAACAAACTGACAACGTCATGGCCAAAAATAAAAAGACAAACAGACAAATAATAGTACAGATGACACAACATAGAAAACCAAAGACTAAGCAACACGAACCCCACCAAAAACTGGGGGTGATCTCAGGTGCTCCGGAAGGGTAAGCAGATCCTGCTCCACATGTGGCACCCGTCGTTTGTAAGTTGCATTAATAAAGGTACATCAACAAATGCTATTTTGATGTCCTTTATGCGTGAGCTCTTTTGGTTATCAGCAACGTATAATTTTCACTTGATATCTAAGCATGTTCCAGGCAAAAAGAATATGCTAGCAGACTGTATTTCACGGATGCATGATCTAACTTTCTGTGAACAATTTTTGCGTGATTATGTTCAACCGCCACTGTATTTACAGGATCTTGTTAGGCACATGTCTAGTAATGCCCTTCGTTTTCTTTTATTTATGCTCACTGGTATCGAGGCAGGTGAGATCACTGGATAGTATTGTTGCTAACTTTAGATGTCATACTTATGCTGAATCTACCGAAAAGACATCTTTAAACTATTTCAAGTCATACGTAGAATTTTGTAGAAGATTAAATATTACCCTTGTTCCATTAATTCCTATGAATTTAGCCAGATATGTAGCCTATTTATCTTCAAGGTTACAATTAAATTCCATAACAAATTATTTGTCAATTGTGCGGATGCTACATTTAGAATCAGGAGTTGCATCTCCGATAGATTCCTTTTTTATGGAGTCAGTTCTCAAGGGTGCTAAACGTGTGTTAGGTGCTGCCATACATAGAAAATTGCCTCTTACACCAAAAATTTTGAATGAGATATTTACTTTACTGTCAGTCAACAGTAGTAAGGACTTATGTTTTTTGGGCAGCCTGCCTAGTGGCTTTTTTCTCCTTTTTAAGGAAGTCAAATTTGTTTGCCCCTTCAATTTCAGCTTTTGATACTTTGCGAAATTTTACTCGTGAGGAAATCCATTTTCACTCAGACGGTGTCTGTTTAAAAGTACGCAAAACCAAAACAATTCAATTTTCAGAGCGTATATTAGAAATTCCCCTTCCTAGAGTGAAGAATTTTCATTTATGTCCCTCTAAGGTGCTTCTTTTAAATTTTAAACAGGTGCCAGCAGTGTCAGCCCCCTCACCTGTCTTCCTGTATTTAGTACGAGGCAAGGTTACCCCTCTTACATATACAGCTTTTGTAAAGATGCTAAAACAGAACTTATCTCGGTTGGGTTATGACAGCAGCAAAAATAAAGTTTTCGCAGAGGAGGGGCCTCCTTTGCCTTAGAATGTGGGGTTCCAGCTGATCTCATACAATCACAGGGTGATTGGTAATCTAATGCATACAAATCATACTTGGATCCTTCTTTTGCACACAGACAGGACGTCATGAACAAATTTGCAATTGCCCTGGGGAAATAATAAACCATTTAACCTACCTTCTACTGGTTACACCACACATGTTTGGGAAGTTTGGAATACCACAGATTATTAATTAATTATTTTGTGTATTGTTTTCAAATAGTACTGTTGTTTGTGTTTTATTAATATGAAATTTAAGCATTAAACTGTGGTTCTTTTCCCTAAAACATGTCTTTGTTTTACACTAGTTACCATCTGGATTCACAGGTTTCCTGACTGGATTCCGATCAGAGTTAGACATCGACATGCATCTGATCTGAGACGGGTCTAGATTCCAACAGCATCTATACACATACACACTATACACATACACAGGGGGGAGGGAAATGGGTGGGGGTGTTTCAAAGTGATGTGGATTAATTCATAAACAAGCTCCTGCCAAAGTTTCATAAAATTCTATGAAGCTTTGACAAAGTAATTGATATGAAACAAACATTAACCCTTGACTGTATCTACTTGTCAACTGTAAAAAATACTAGGTCCATTTACCAGTAAAATATGGAAAAATGAAAAAAAAATATTTTCAAAATTTTGCTGTGGATACTGTCTTTTGGTCATAAACAAGCTTCTGTCCAAATTTCATAAAATTCCATGAAGGTTTGACAAAGTTATTGATGTCTAACCACAGACTAAACTTAATTGTTGACGACGCCAGCAATGGAATCTAGGATCGTGTAGCATTAAAGTTTTTTCAATTTGAAAGCTGAAAATCAAACTTAAATTCTTCAACTAACTGTAAAATATTAATTGTTTATACACTTTATTTGATCACAATCTTGCCTGAAAGGAAAAAACAATATAATTTAAATTTTTTTCAGGCATTATGGGTTTTCACAGATTATGCTGTTTAGGAATGTGACATACTTTAAAAGAATAATAATTCAATATGTATATTAAAGATCGGACGTACTAGTGATCAACAGAAATATCTTTTTCTTAGAAATGTTCTGTTTTCTTTAAAAATAAAGAAAATCAAACAGTAAGATCCGAGAAAAGTTTTGTAAAGTTTTTGCAGCACGACATCTTGCATGGAACGTTAGATGTTTGGAACAGTACAATGAAATAACAGTAACACACAAATAACTCGATTCGTTATTAAGAGACTTCAACTTGTTTTTTTCTAAAGAAAGTCTTCTTCTGTTTAGCAGCTATCTCTGCCTCTATTCGTTTCTTTTCCTCTTCAGCAGCTTTGGTTTGTATTTCTGCTACTTCATCTAGAAACTATAAAAAAGTTAAACATAATTAACTGCTAGACAAAGACCATTTATAAATAATGGGTGAATTAAATATTTCAGTCAATTCTTAAATTGCTTATGTTAACATAATACAGTATAAATATTCTACAAAAATCACCAAAAAAAACTACTGGTACATAATATGGGGGAAGAAAAACAGAAGTATTGTAAAACCAAACAAATTGAAAAGGAGTTCTGAAGAAAATATTCACTCAATATACAAATTATTTGTTCTAAAAACTGGCTGCCCTGAACAAATTCAAATATAAAGAGTTTTATTGTTTATCTGCAGATGGTTAGAAAGAACAATGCTATTTAACAATATAAACTAACTGCAAGAAACATGAAACATGTAAAAGAGAGACATGCCAACCCTCATTATTTCTATGTTCAGAAATATTAAAATAAAAATCATGCAACTTAATGAACAAAGAAAACTTATATAACAGTTATAGACCAGTGATAAGCATAGAAAGATAATATTGTTACAATGTCAATGCTGAATTTTGAGCTTAATATTATTACAGAAGAAGCTCAAAGGAGTCAAACAAAATAAATTAAACAAAGATAAAATTTTGTCCAAATATAGCCAGTGTTGAAAGAGAAAAAGCTTTTTTTTCAATTTTTAAATTTACAGGAATCATGGAATGTTTAGCAATATCAATAGGTGTAACCCTTTTGGTCAAGTGAGCATTAAAGACAACAGTGTAAATGATGAATATCTTTAATTACCTAGCTTAGTCAATCTATTCCTTGGGGAAGAAAAACCTTATAATGTTTTGAAAAATTTTATAAAAAATTAATTTACAGAAAACGACGACAGTCATATCAATGATATTTTCACAAAAGCACTGACTACTGGGCTGGTGTTTTTCTCTTGTGCAAAATGTGTACCAGCAGTGACAAGTTATAGACCAATGATTGCTAGGTTTAGGGGTGAGTACCGGTAAACATTGACTTTGTAAATTATTTTAATTTATCTTTCATAATTTGACCACTGGATTACATGTATAAACAAATATAAAATTCAAAACTTGTATATGTCTGCATTGTTTTCCATTTGTTTTACTCCCTCTTTGCATCTAATCTTACATGAGTTGTCTCCCATTTGTTGACAAAAGTAATTTTCTGGCAAGGTATTTATCAAATTAATACATTCATTTACTGATATTTAAGATTTATCTACAAAATGTGGTCAAAGGCAATCGTAAATACATCTGATTTCTTAATTAGATCAGAGGGTTAATAAAATTTAGAAAAATTGTTTTACAAATGGTATAGAAATATTGAAGAATTACTTACTGGATGAAAAAAGAAAATGTTATTGCTTGTTGCTCAAGAAACAGGAAAACTCTTTTCAGGAGAACAAATACCTTTGTTATATTACAACATTTACCAAACATTTGTTAACCAAATTTCTTGAATGTGGTCAATTATATTTCATTTTTTTTCAGAGCAACCTAGATGGCATTAAAATAAATTAGATGTCCCTAATAGAAAGTGGTTTCATCAATGCAATATACTGATTTCAACATTTAACTACATTCAAATAGCCCTGAATAAAATTCAAATTAATTGAGCTGATTAGTTGTAAGAAAACTGGTGTACACATTTATGGTTGATACAGTAAAATGAATGATAGTCAATAATGATAATTTCATAAACTGACAAAAATAAATAGATTTAACAAAAAGGCAACTTCAAAACGTGAATTTTGTTTGTCTGAACACCTTACCTTTACCTGACTTGATTAATTTAAGAACCTAAATAGTTGTATTGAGAATTAGAGATAACAGCATGTACATTATTCTGAGGGTATTATCCCACTGATATCAAGAATGGACCTGATGAATATGATCAATGCTTTTATTTCATTTGGTTTATACAATGAGTATCATAGAGCAAGATATGTATATTAGTACTATTCTCCAGATCAAAAATGTTTTGTATATAGTTTTTATGTTTTATGATATACATTTGTATATATGATTTAAAGAAACGACTCAAAAGTAATTTATCAATTAAGAGACAAAACAGTGCTACTAGTACATGAATGAAGTCACAACTGACAGTTACCCATACACTGAACTCACATCTGACAGTTACCAGTATACTGAACTCACAACTGACAGTTCATCATCGGATTAAAGATGACTGGTATGAATGTAACTACAAGTTGTCACAAATTATTGGCCTTCTTTTTACTTTATTGTCCTAACCCATATAAAGTTATAATCCTTACCTTAAACCTAACCCTAACTGATACCTAACCAGGACACCAGCTCTAACCCTTAAACCTAATCCCTAACCTAGAATTAACCCTAACCATAAAATGAACCCTTATTCAAAGTGAAAGAAGGCCAAATTATTATTGTCTATTATAAGTTGCCAGATGCTATATATCAAGCTACAAAAATCCCTGTTTTACAGCACATCTTATTTATTTAAGTCTATAATTTTTAGTGTTTGCTAAAAGTACAATATAATTTGTTGCTGTAAATTCAGAAATGCTTGCCCTGTTTTTATTATTGTGCAAATTTACAAAGGGATAGCATTCGCTATAACAAAAACTCACATCTTAAATTTTGATAGCATTATTTTTATACTGCATTTTCTGAAACTGCAATTATTAATTCATTGTTAAACAATCCCAATAAAAAATGCATGCACAAATTTCTGAATTACAGTATCTAATATCAAATGGTAGACTTTTGCTGCTTGTTATTTTCAATTTACTCTGCATAATTCTGACATGAGTGTTAATGTTTCAGTTTTAAGTAGATGAGAGCTCTAGAATCAGATGTGTTTGTGTGATGTACAATTATAAATAAAAATAATATAAATTGTAGATTAGACATTTTCAATATATTGATATCTTTGTTAAAGTAAAATATAAAGGCTCAACACAGTCTGGTAGCATGGTGTGTGATACACAGTCTGGTTAAGCAATGGTGTGTGATACACAGTCTGGTTATCATGGTGTGTGATACACAGTCTGGTTAAGCACGGTGTGTGATAAACAGTCTAGTTAAGCATGGTGTGTGATGCAGTCTGGTTAAGCATGGTGTGTGATACACAGTCTGGTGAAGCATTGTGTGTGATACACAGTCTGGTTAAGCATGGTGTGTGATACACAGTCTGGTGAAGCATGGTGTGTGATACACAGTCTGGTTAAGCATGGTGTGTGATACACAGTCTGGTTAAGCATGGTGTGTGATACACAGTCTGGTTAAGCATGGTGTGTGATACACTGTCTGGTTAAGCATGGTATGTGATACACAGTCTGGTTAAGCATGGTGTGTGATACAGTCTGGTAGCATGGTGTGTGATACACTGTCTGGTAGCATGGTGTGTGATACATAGTCTGGTTAAGCATGGTGTGTGATACACAGTCTGGTAGCATGGTGTGTGATACACAGTCTGGTTAAGCATGGTGTGTGATACACAGTCTGGTAGCATGGTGTGATACACAGTCTGGTTAAGCATTGTGTGTGATACACAGTCTGGTAAAGCATGGTGTGTGATACACAGTCTGGTAGCATGGTGTGATACACAGTCTGGTTAAGCATTGTGTGTGATACACAGTCTGGTTAAGCATGGTGTGTGATAATAGGAATAAAAGAAGATTCTCATGAATCTCCAACTCCATGAAGTCTTTTAAACTAATTTTTTCTAAAGAGTTTGTCATCAATTTTTTTTGTAAATTGTTTTCTTTATTGACATTTTTTTTTATTTCGAATTAGCTTGAATGATTAAAGAATGTGTTATTTAAGTCATAAATAAAATTAAAATAGTTAAAATCTTATGTTTCATGAAAAAACCTATGATATAATGTAGAATTTTCCAAATATACCAGTATCTGAGGTCAATAACTCTTACTTCTGGTTTCCGTTTGTCTTTCTTAACATCTATTGTCCAATCCATGAATAATTTGGCACCATGAGACTGTGCTATATCATTATTCTACAAAACAAAACAACTCTAATGAAGCAAAGAGATAATTAACATCAATAAATTTATACACATTGCAGACCTGCCAACTATCCCAATTTATGGTTGATATCCCCCATGAGAGGTGTTGACCTGAATTTTTAAATTCTTTATTATATAATCTAAACACCTCAAAACAGGCTTTCAAATGTGTTAAAAGGTTATTTAAGCACACACATACTCATCCAAACAATAATGAAGTTGATTAAACACACTTATGACAATATAAGAGGAGCATAAGGTCCTCTTGCGCTTAAAATTCCCCATGGAGATTTGAAAAAATAGGCAGGTATGACATTGTCACAGTGATAAGTTTTTTTAAAATTTCAGATATTGAATTATTCTGTTTAAATCTTTCAAATTTTTAATGTGATTTATAAAAGTTATGTGTAAAATAAAATATTTACACCCTATTTTTCCTTCATTAAATATTATCATTATATACCATTTTCATAAACAAAATTTTAGGTTTACGTGTGTAATGCTTTACTGCTTCTCAGATAGACATGCACATACATATTTTGCAACTGCTGTCATCATACGTATACTAACTCAGTCATCATACATATACTAACTCAGTCATCATACGTACACTAACTCAGTCATCATACAAACTAACTCAGTCATCATATGTACACTAACTCTGTCATCATACGTACACTAACTGTCATCATACGTACACTAACTCTGTCATCATACTTACACTAACTCAGTCATCATACTTATGCTAACTCAGTCATCATACTTATACTAACTCAGTCATCATACTTACACTAACTCAGTCATCATACTTACACTAACTCAGTCATCATACGTATACTAACTCAGTCATCATACGTATACTAACTCAGTCATCATACGTACACTAACTCAGTCATCATATGTATACTAACCATACTTATACTAACTCAGTCATCATACTTATACTAACTCAGTCATCATACTTACACTAACTCAGTCATCATACTTACACTTACTCAGTCATCATATGTACACTAACTCAGTCATCATACTTACACTAACTCAGTCATCATATGTATACTAACTCAGTCATCATACTTACACTAACTCAGTCATCATACTTATACTAACTCAGTCATCATACTTACACTAACTCAGTCATCATACTTAAACTAACTCAGTCATCATATGTATACTAACTCCATCATCATACTTACACTAACTCAGTCATCATACTTATACTAACTCAGTCATCATACTTATACTAACTCAGTCATCATACTTACACTAACTCAGTCATCATACTTACACTAACTCAGTCATCATACTTACACTAACTCAGTCATCATACGTATACTTACTCAGTCATCATACGTATACTAACTCAGTCATCATACGTATACTAACTCAGTCATCATACGTTCACTAACTCAGTCATCATATGTATACTAACCATACTTATACTAATTCAGTCATCATACTTATACTAACTCAGTCATCATACTTACACTAACTCAGTCATCATACTTACACTTACTCAGTCATCATATGTACACTAACTCAGTCATCATACTTACACTAACTCAGTCATCATATGTATACTAACTCAGTCATCATACTTACACTAACTCAGTCATCATACATATACTAACCATACTTACACTAACTCAGTCATCATACGTATACTAACTCAGTCATCATATGTATACTAACCATACTTATACTAACTCAGTCATCATACTTATACTAACTCAGTCATCATACTTACACTAACTCAGTCATCATACTTACACTTACTCAGTCATCATATGTACACTAACTCAGTCATCATACTTACACTAATTCAGTCATCATATGTATACTAACTCAGTCATCATACTTACACTAACTCAGTCATCATACTTATACTAACTCAGTCATCATACTTACACTAACTCAGTCATCATACTTAAACTAACTCAGTCATCATATGTATACTAACTCCATCATCATACTTACACTAACTCAGTCATCATACTTATACTAACTCAGTCATCATACTTATACTAACTCAGTCATCATACTTACACTAACTCAGTCATCATACTTACACTAACTCAGTCATCATACTTACACTAACTCAGTCATCATACGTATACTTACTCAGTCATCATACGTATACTAACTCAGTCATCATACTTACACTAACTCAGTCATCATACTTATACTAACTCAGTCATCATACTTACACTAACTCAGTCATCATACTTAAACTAACTCAGTCATCATATGTATACTAACTCCATCATCATACTTACACTAACTCAGTCATCATAGGTATACTTACTCAGTCATCATACTTACACAAACTCAGTCATTATACATATACTAACTCAGTTTCATATTTCCACAAAGTGGCAATGATTTTGACATATTTTAAAATCTGTTTTACAAGAAAATCAACGACTTTGCAAATACACATCAGTGTTTATATATTTGAATTGAATCAATGACCATAACTGGACACTTTTTTTATGAGTTTATCCCAAAACACTGGTCTATAGATGGAGTGATCTACGATAAGCAAACCAATTAAGCCCCACCAAGTCACTTGAAATAAATCCAGTTATACCTTGGATGATGGGATATAATATAATGAACAGGACATATATGGTGAATATGAAATTTCATAATTGGTATTTTATATTATGCTCCATTGTCCTTAACATCAATGATCATTGGCAATGTTGTAACTATATAGGTGCTGTTTCTTCCTTATAGGAACCTTTAAGTTATCCAGGTGAAAAGAATTAGATGATGGCTTCACCAAGACTTATTGACACTTAAATATATGTAATCTCAGATTAACAGTATACTTTTTAGTTTGTACTTGTCTCCATGTCAGCTTGATAAACCAAATTAAATATTCAAGTTACCTTAAGTGCGAAAGAAATTATAAATATATATACATAAAAGCAATCAGTAATAATTATAACAACAAGAGGCTCTCAAGAGCCTGAATCGCTCACCTGTATTTCAGAGGAGAAGATTTTTAAATGTTAGCAAACTTCATGAACAAATTGTGTAAAATTGTCTTTAAAGGGCAATAACTCCTTAAGGGGTCAATTGACAATTTTGGTCATATTAACTTTTTTGTAGATCTTACTTTGCTGAACATTATTGCTGCTTACAGTTTATATATATCTATAATAATATTCAAAATAATAACAAAAAACTGCAAAATTTTGTTTAAACTACCAATTCGGTGGCAGCAACCCAACAATGGGTTGTTCGATTCGTCTGATAATTTCAGGGCCGATAGATCTTGACCAATTAAACAATTTAACCCATGTCACATTTGCTCTAAAAGATTTAGTTTTTGAGATATAAGCCAAAAACTGCATTTGACCCTTATGTTCTATTTTTAGCCATGGCAGCCATGTTTGTCGATGGATACAAACTTCGGATACAATTTATAAACAAGATGCCCTAAGGAACATTTAGTTAAAGTTTGAAGGTAATTGGCCCAGTAGTTTCAGAGGAGAAGATTTTTGAAATGTTAGCAAACTTGATGAACAAATTGTGTAAAATTGTCTTTAAAGGGCAATAACTCCTTAAGGGGTCAATTGACAATTATGGTCATTTAACTTTTTTGTAGATCTTACTTTGCTGAACATTATTGCTGCTTACAGTTTATATATATCTATAATAATATTCAAAATAATAACAAAAAACTGCAAAATTTTGATAAAAACTACCAATTCAGTGGCAGCAACCCAACAATGGGTTGTTCGATTCGTCTGAAAACTTCAGGGCTGATAGATCTTGACCAATTAAACAATTTTACCCACCGTCACATTTGCTCTAAAAGATTTAGTTTTTGAGATATAAGCCAAAAACTGCATTTGACCCTTATGTTCTATTTTTAGCCATGGCGGCCATGTTTGTCCATGGATACAAACTTCGGATACAATTTATAAACAAGATACCCTAAGGAACATTTAGTTAAAGTTTGAAGGTAATTGGCCCAGTAGTTTCAGAGGAGAAGATTTTTAAATGTTAGCAAACTTGATGAACAAATTGTGTAAAATTGTCTTTAAAGGGCAATAACTCCTTAAGGGGTCAATTGACAATTATGGTCATTTAACTTTTTTGTAGATCTTACTTTGCTGAACATTATTGCTGCTTACAGTTTATATATATCTATAATAATATTCAAAATAATAACAAAAAACTGCAAAATTTTGATAAAAACTACCACTTCAGTGGCAGCAACCCAACAATGGGTTGTTCGATTCGTCTGAAAACTTCAGGGCTGATAGATCTTGACCAATTAAACAATTTTACCCACCGTCACATTTGCTCTAAAAGATTTAGTTTTTGAGATATAAGCCAAAAACTGCATTTGACCCTTATGTTCTATTTTTAGCCATGGCGGCCATGTTTGTCCATGGATACAAACTTCGGATACAATTTATAAACAAGATACCCTAAGGAACATTTAGTTAAAGTTTGAAGGTAATTGGCCCAGTAGTTTCAGAGGAGAAGATTTTTAAATGTTAGCAAACTTGATGAACAAATTGTGTAAAATTGTCTTTAAAGGGCAATAACTCCTTAAGGGGTCAATTGACAATTATGGTCATTTAACTTTTTTGTAGATCTTACTTTGCTGAACATTATTGCTGCTTACAGTTTATATATATCTATAATAATATTCAAAATAATAACAAAAAACTGCAAAATTTTGATAAAAACTACCAATTCAGTGGCAGCAACCCAACAATGGGTTGTTCGATTCGTCTGAAAACTTCAGGGCTGATAGATCTTGACCAATTAAACAATTTTACCCACCGTCACATTTGCTCTAAAAGATTTAGTTTTTGAGATATAAGCCAAAAACTGCATTTGACCCTTATGTTCTATTTTTAGCCATGGCGGCCATGTTTGTCCATGGATACAAACTTCGGATACAATTTATAAACAAGATACCCTAAGGAACATTTAGTTAAAGTTTGAAGGTAATTGGCCCAGTAGTTTCAGAGGAGAAGATTTTTAAATGTTAGCAAACTTGATGAACAAATTGTGTAAAATTGTCTTTAAAGGGCAATAACTCCTTAAGGGGTCAATTGACAATTATGGTCATTTAACTTTTTTGTAGATCTTACTTTGCTGAACATTATTGCTGCTTACAGTTTATATATATCTATAATAATATTCAAAATAATAACAAAAAACTGCAAAATTTTGATAAAAACTACCAATTCAGTGGCAGCAACCCAACAATGGGTTGTTCGATTCGTCTGAAAACTTCAGGGCTGATAGATCTTGACCAATTAAACAATTTTACCCACCGTCACATTTGCTCTAAAAGATTTAGTTTTTGAGATATAAGCCAAAAACCTGCATTTGACCCCTATGTTCTATTTTTAGCCATGGCAGCCATGTTTGTCGATGGATCAAAACTTCGGATACAATTTAGATACCCTAAGGAACATTTAATTAAAGTTTGAAGGTATTTGGCCCAGTTGTTTCAGAGGAGAAGATTTTTGAAATAGTTTACAACGACAACAGACGATGACGACAGACGACAACGGACACCAAGCGATGGCATAAGCTCACATGGGGCCGAAGGGCCCCGGTGAGCTAATAAAAGATATATGTTAAGTATAGTATGAAGCATGAAATATACCAATTCTTTGCTTTTTTTCTTAGATTCCGACATTTCTTGATTTTTAACTTCTTTAGGATCTAGTAATGGAATTTCAGCATCTCTTTTCTTCCATGATTTTGGATCTAAATACCAGGAGCCATATTTGAACTTTACCCATGTTGGCTGGTAGTTACCACTGTATTTCTGAAGACAAAAATAAATTCTTGATATTTTTATAAAGTTTTAAGCTACTTGTGTTTCAGTTAGCAACAATTAACAAATTAATATACAAAGTACAAATGATTAAACTGTTAATTAGTAGTTGGCATTCTGTTTGAAGAAGTGACTCTTACAATTAATCTTGCTAATGGAGGTCTTTAAGGCTGTGCAGCATGACCATATACATACAAACTAATTTGTGAGGGTTTTTTTCTTTAAGTACTATGTGTGTGGCATGCCAGGTTGTCTGTTTGCACAAAGACCTTGCTAAAGAGTGGCTATTTAGTATGACATGATGTAATTCTATATCACACAGCCCGATATCATTTGGCAAGTTGACTAAAAGATACATAATTGAAACTAAAATGACTGCCAAACAATAAAAAGAGTTTCATTTTATTTTTAAAACTTCATCTTTTAGACCGAATAAACATTTATCAAAGGTCCTCTCCTGTTCTAATCAAATATAAATGGACCTGTAAATTTTTTTAACTGTTTTGTAACTCTAATATATTTATATTATTACCAAGCAGATATTATAATAAATTTAGTAGAAAGATAAGGAAAACTTAGAACCTGACAGACAGATTGAAAAGGCAGATAGTCCACCCCCCATGTAGGAACTAATATATGTAAATTAATTAAGCCATTTAAAAAGCGACTTTATATTACCCATTTTTCTGGAGTTTTCTTTTCAGTTGGTATACTCTTTGTTGCCTGTTGTTGTTGTGCTACATTAGCAGTAGCTCGTAACTCTTGTGGAACATTTGTTAACTCTACAACATGTATTGGAACTGAGAGTGCTGGTTTTGTTTCATAGCCACTAGCAAATAAACTGGTAATAGTTGACTCTTCCATATTGTTTTTGTTTGACTCTCCACCAAGATTTGCCACCCAATCACAAAATTCTTTCGTAACTTTTTTTATATGTTCACTCTGTAAGATAAATATGTACTTGTACTGGTATGTTTATTTTTCTAAACACAGTCAAATACAAGATGGAAAATATTACTCAATTGAATTCAATGAAATGATCAAGGGTTAATTTTTACACACATGAAGTTTAATAAATTATGAACTCTAATAATAGACAAATCTACTCTATTTAAATGTCATGTAAAGTTCCCTACCAATCTTGTAAAAAATGTAAATTATTTTAATTTGATAACTACATCTTTCTTGCTTCATTTCTACACATAGATCGGATAATTAAAAGACTGATCACATAAAAGGCCAAGATATAGACGCACAAACACCTTGGTGGTCACATGTTGAAAAAAGATCAAAATATCGTCTTTCATTGAAAATAGATTGCAAACATTGTTGTCAGGTCATTAAGGACGATCCTATTGTAAAAATTGGTGTAAACAAAAAAAATCTTATAAAAAATCTGTTGATAATAACTCAAATAAATGTATGAATATTGTGGATATTTAAATTTCAAAACTTTGAAAATAATTTAGAAATAGGTAAAAGGGAACATAATATGCCTAATTTTTTAGAATAATAAACAAACTTCAAGTACTCACATACAGGATTGTGTTTTTACAAGCGAACAAAGCAGCCACCAATGTGGTGGTGGTATGATGTATTCACAACATTGAAGTTCTTAAGAATGAAATTATAAATTTTTCTACATTCAGGTCCATGCGCTCCACAGAGAGTCATATAGTAAACAATCATATCATTAAGACATCTCAGCTTAAGGCCTCCTTTGAACATTTGAAGGTCTCTTCTAAGTATTTGTTACCTAAACTACACACAAAGTGTTCTACAACTAATTTTTCAGTGCTTTAACTAGTTCCTTAACTACTATAAAAAAAAAATATTTTAATGTTTTGATAAATTACTTGCTTTTGATTGTCCTTTTCATTTGGTTGACAGTTTTGACTTTTCAACTCGCTTTCACACAATATTATCAAACAAAAGATATCCTATTTAATCAAATGGTTGTTTGAAAAATCTGATTGCAAATTTATTCAAACTAACAGCCATCGATTATTTGTTTGGGACATTCAATTTGGATGTCTCTATCTGTACAATATCATTAAATCAAATCAACATGAAATACACATCTAACCTGTGTTTCTGCTTGTGTTGACTTCACATCACCAGGTTTCTTTTTATCTTTTTTGTCTTTCCATCTGTATGGATGTCGAGGTATTTTTTCCCCACTAAAATGAAATTTTGCATAATATCCCAATATGCTTCATTAAAATACTATTGATGTACTTTTAAAGCTGTAAAGATGAGTCATACTGAATAGTATTTAAGTTTTATCTTTGACCTAAGAAGACAAAATAAGAAAACTTCTCCTCACAACCAATCATTTAATAGATTTCTTGAATCAATTAGACATTGCAGTTTCACAAAAACAATTCCATAGGTTTCCAAATGGTCATTTGACAATCAAACAAAAATTGCTGACAATGATTATTAGATTCTTCAAGAATTATAAGTCATTACATCAATTATAAGTGATTACATCAATTATAAGTCATTACATCAATATTGAATTTTATTTTAATTCTTAAAGGACCTGTTGGTAAACCATAATTTATCCTAATGATGCAGTGTGCATATTTAATGTGTCTATAAAAGCTAAAATAGTTAGTTACTTGGAAAATGATTAAAATTATTTTTAAAGGTGGCTGGACAAATGATATGGGTTTTGCTCATTGTTGAAGGCTGTATGGTGAACTAAATTGCTTACATCCATGTCAATTGAACACTGGTGGATAGTTTTCTCATTGGCAATCAAACCATATCTCCTTATTTTTATATAGTTCTAATTTAGAAAATAGTTAAAAAAATTATACCTATCCAAAATATAGAACATTCCACATTCAGTAAAAAAACATGATAGTGAGAGTTGTTTGTTGGACTTGTTTTAAATTTACAGTCTGGGTGTGCAAAATTTCCTTATTTTGTAATACAATGGATTTTTAATATGAACTGAAAATATAAATTTTGTTTTTAAAAACACAGAGAAAATTAAGAAAAAAGGGGATCACCATTTTTGTTTTCTAAGCAATTGCTACACAATAATAGATAACCGATGATGACAGAGTTGTGCACAATCTGTCTACTGGTGCTGAACTACTCCAAAAATACTCTATACAAGTTTAGATGATCTTATCATTTATAACTGATGAGATAACAACTGCATAGTTACCTTCTTTTGCCTGAAAGATAAATCCTAATCCCCTAAGTGCATATTTACACAAATATGGAATACATGAATCAAAAAACAAGATTGTTCTATCCATTTTTCATTAGGTTACTTTAAGATTTTTATGAATACTTTTTAGACAAACAATTTCTTTTAAGTGAGAGAAAAAACTTTAAAAAATTAATTAATGTTTATTACTTAGCTGGATGCTTTTATCAAGGAAACTTCTCAGCTAAAAATAAAACATTTTCAGTCATGATCCAATTAACAATGCTCATGATCAGCTGATTACAGGGTATCTTATTTAAACCATATAAATATTTCTTTGTCAGTTGAAAATTATGCAAACCATTAACAAATGTCTGCATCAGTAAAATTCTCTGTGAACTTTCTTAAAAACTAACTTTAAGGTATAGTCTGGAAAAAGTCTCTAGCTTTTAGTTTCAATTTATTCTTAGTAAAAGTATAATGAGTTTACCCAAAGTTATCCATTTCTTTTTCTTTCTCCTCTTTCACAGATTTATCATCTTCCTCATCAATGTCTGATTTCCTTTCTTCCTCATTTTCCTCTACAATTTCTTCATCATATTCATCTCTTTCTGATCCTTCCTCTGACATCATATTTATTTCCGGATCTAACAGATCTACGATCATATCAAACAACTATAAAGGAAACAAAATAGGCATCATCAATGAATCAGAATGGGATATTAGTGATCAGAATTTATTTCTTTACACAATCAATTTTTACATTCTGTTTACAAAGGAAAAGAACTTTACTTTCTATATTTCATATAGGCCTTATTTAAGAGAGGTTTCAATTTGTGTAGAATGTAGTGTAAAAAAAATCAAAAATAGACATCTTCATCATGTGAAACAGAATTATAAATCTGTAGAATGTTGGACCTTAAATGTCAGTGAGGTGTCTTAAATGTGCTTAGAGTTTGGGATGCATAATTTTTCTTGCATATGTCCAAGGGTCACGTATGATGTATGTTACAGAGTGATAAAATCAGATATACCGATATACAAAAAAAGTTAAGCAACATCACATATATCACAATTTACAGAGTAAATAACAATATAAAAATCTAACTTCACCATATAACACTTTAGTAATGTAACCTTTTATAGTATTTTTGAATTTTGTTAACATTCTAACATGGATCACTTATTCAACATTTACATTTTAAATACAGACATAGTTGTCATTGAAAAGTAATGTCAATTTCTTCCCTTCCACCAATCAAGGGCAGGCTATACAAAGAATTTGAAAGGACTGGTCCTCTTCTTTGGTTAAAACAGAACATGCAATCTTTCACAGCAAAGCTACCCAGATGATAAGGGAGGAAACACTTACATCTGGAGGACAGTTTTCCTCGAAATGTGGATAAAGTGCCAGTGGATGCTGTGTTAGTCCAAATTCTACTTCATCAATGTGATCTCTCATTTGCTGTTGTAATGGAGTCTGCCTTGAGTAACATATTTGATGTTTTGTAAACCTTTTCTTTGCTGCTGGCTGTTTTACAGAACTTAAATTCTCACCGCTACCTTTTATGTTTGGCCCTGGTCCTTTGGAACCCTAAAAAATCAAATATCACCTATTTGCAAGCAGAGTGAACACCTTCATTTACATCACAGCAGCATTTATTTAAGCAGTGTTGTAATAAACAATTGTATTTCTAATAAAGGCTAAACTGATTGTACAGTGCATTATAATACCATTGGTCAGACCGTCAGAATATCTGGTTGACAATAACATAAAACACACACTTTATACTAAATATCCTAAGTATCATTGAAGTCAAAATTTCTTAAAGTTGATACAGCAAAATTAAAAAGAAAGAATTTCCTTAAAAAAATGTTATTTTAAATTGTTGTTTTTTCTTCTTTTTTTTATGAACTTAATTTGCCTACTTACGCCATGTAAGCTCATAAAGAAAAGAAAAAAACTCTTTAAAATAAGGTTTATAACAATTACTTCAAACTCTAATTTCCCAAGAACAGTATAATTTTTTCCTTAAATTTTTTTGAAAAATAAGACTAATACTGGGGCTGGACCTGTGTCATTGCATGCAATTGAATAAGTAACATGTATACTGAAGCATAACTGATCATTCCCTTCAAAGCCAAGATTGATTGATTGATTGTTGGTTGCTTAACGTCCAGTGGCAAATTTGAAGCCAAGAAAACTTTGAAGAAAATTTTTACAATGAGTGTTGTAAATTTCAAACTATCAGCAAACAGGAAGTGGGTGCAAGGCAGATGTAAAAATTGCTTACAAGCTACAACTCAACATTATTTATATACAAACTAAATATAAAATCATTCCCATCTATAATTTGACGAAAAGTTTCTTTGTGTGAAGAGTGTTGTGAAATTTGAAACTATTTTTTTTTTTTTTTTTTTAGTTTGAGTGTCCCTCTGCTATCCTTCCCCTCTCTTTTTATATAGGCTACAACATATCATTATCAAGCTGTAAATCAAATATAAATTCATATCCTTACATAGAAGCTAAGAAAAGTTTGGAAAAAATTTGCTTACACACAACAACTGAAACATTATGAAGCTGCAGACCAAATATTCAATCAGTCTCTTTCATAGAAGCCAAGAAAAGTTTGACAAAAGTTTTCTCTGCAAGGTCTTTCAGACATCATACAAACAGACAGAGTTGGGCCGTCACTAAACTGGCTTTTGCCATTGTCGAAGCAAGTAAAAAAGAAAAAAAAGGACAAATGATAATAATAAAAAAAAATTAAACATGAACTATTGTTTTCAATTAAAGATGATTTCAAAAAATGTTTTTACATATATATGGTTATTTCATTTCCAATGTGATTTGCAATACTGTGTACCTTGAGGATAATGTCTCCTTCCACAGGTGGTGGATAGCCATCTCTAAAGTCATCCAGTCCATCTCTAACAAATAACCAGTTTTTGCCGACAAGATGTTTAGATGTATCAGTTGGTTTTAATGACTTTATGAACTTGGTCTTCAATCTTTCTTTATACCTATTAAAAAAGTAATAACATTTAAATTTTAACATATACAGAATTCATTTACATTTTTGAAATATTCATTATAATAATATTCAAATAAAATTCAAGAGAGAGAAGAAAAAAAATATGGATAAAGATTTAATCTAAATTATTTCATCCTTCTTTCATTAACTCTGTTACTCTTTTGTCTCAGCAAAGACTTTCAGAATAATAATTTGCACACATCTGGTAGCACATGCATGTTAAAGAGGTTTTAAACATTTATTCATTTTTTACCTGTTCATACTGTATTATGAATTTCATATGTGTCACTAACTCTGAGTTGTTTGTTGGTGTCAATCAATTTTTTCTCTAAAAAATTTAGAAACCTGATGACCAGACCAAATTTCTTAGACATGTATGAAGAAGTAAAATCTCACTTCTGGGAGAAACTATATATCTATGAATTTGTACCTCTGAACACCATTTTGTCCATTGTTTTACTTTTTGTAGCTAAATGCTTGAATATTCTGTTTTCAGTAAACATTAAAATTCTGACCATAATTTGTCAATGATTACTTGACAATAGGCTTACTGAACAATGTAAATGAATTTTTCAACTGCAAACTGACACAATATTATATCATAGAAAACATTAACGCAAAATATGTTCAGGAAGTCTTCCAGTTCCATCAAAATACTTTTTCTTAGAAGGACATCATCAACTTGTGTGGTAAGTTATGATTTGGAACCTGGCTTGTGCTGAGGTGTATCATCACTTCCATCTTAATTAACAAAGATTGCAAGGTTTCCTGCTGAATGTTTGTGGTGTTTTCTGGGTACTCCAGCTTCCCCCACCAATAGAAATTGGCCGCAATGATATAGCCTATGCTGCTGAAAGATGTGTTAAACACCTACATACAATCAAACCAACATGTGTTGTGGTCTGACACCTGTTATGTGTAGAAATATAATAGGGGACATATTTTACATTATTGTAGTACAAAGGTAATTAAAACATTTTTTTAGATGTTTCTTACTCACAGTTACTTGCCAATAACAATTTTATGACAAAATCAAATAGTGAAGGAAAAGTAAACTCTTGCTGTTAAAAAATAAAGTTACAATACCATATGTACAAAGTGTCTTAGAAATCACGAACATTTCTCATAGAATAATTAACCCATTGCTACACATTTCAGCAAGTGTTGTTATGCTTGCTATATATACACATACCTGCTTGAAGGGAAGTCAAAGACTTCTAAAAATGTTGCATTCATTTAGCAATATCTTTTCATAAGCCTTGAAGTATAAGATAGAGTGTGGCTATAAAAGCATGTATATTAAGAAGTTAGAACTGTAAGGTATTACTCTCTAGAGATTTGTTTGAGACACCTGAAAAAAAAGCAAGAAAGATTGAAAGAAATAAAAGTTACAAGAAGTATTAGAGAAAAATGTTTCTCCACCTAAAAAGATTAGAAAAAGAAGCTAAAAGAAGGACATGAAATTGTTTGTGCCACATAAGAAATGCAAGATCAAGAATAAAGTTATAACAAAGAAAAGATATAAACTTAAAGATCAGAAAAAATTCAGACACATGCAATATACATGTAGGAAAGAAGTAAGAACTAGTGAATGATGTAGTTCAATTATAGTGTTTCTTCCAGTAGACTAGATGTGTAGGTTCCATTAAGGTAGATTTTTAACCAAAGAACATACAATTGTAGAGCCTTGTTCATGTAAGACAGCTAGTCAGACAATGAACATACAATTGTAGAGCCTTGCTCATGTAAGACAGCTAGTCAGACAATGACCATACAACTGTAGAGCCTTGTTCATGTAAGACAGCTAGTCAGACAATGAACATACAATTGTAGAGCCTTGCTCATGTAAGACAGCTAGTCAGACAATGAACATACAACTGTAGAGCCTTGTTCATGTAAGACAGCTAGTCAGACAATGAACATACAATTGTAGAGCCTTGCTCATGTAAGACAGCTAGTCAGACGATGAACATACAATTGTAGAGCCTTGCTCATGTAAGACAGCTAGTCAGACAATGAACATACAATGTATAAAGTCAGACAAAGTAGGCATCATTTAATTCTAAGGTAGAAAAGAGTTAACAGGGCATTCAGCTGTAGTCAACCTGACAGTTAAGACTAAATTAAGTATTATTTCATATGATATAACCCTTTTGATAGGTGGTAGTGGCATGTTGGCACCTTAGACCACCAGTTGCAAACTGTTTCCTAAATAAAAGCAAGGAAAGCAATGCCACTGTAAGGCACATGTATATATAGAGCTTGTGACCTGAAAAAATACTCAACTTTTTTGCTGCCATAACTGGCAAATGACAAACTTCTAAACATAAAACTTGGTAGAATTTGTCTATCATTACAATTCCATAAATGCATTTGTTAGTTATTTGCCATTTACTGTTTACTCTTTACGTTGTTTATAGTCAGATCCATTCAGTCTTGCATTTAATACTTCCTATAGGTATTAATCATGCTGCACAAATATTATTTAAGGTTTTTGTATATATATATATCAATCACCTCAAATTGATCATACCCATAGATTCATGAATTAAAATCTTTTTTGGTATTTTTTGTTTGTAGAAAATTTACATTTTTCTGTTCACTTGGAAATTATAATGGTGAACATGATCCTTTAAAACCCACTACATTGTATTAATAACTATCCCACAAATAATAAATTATCCTCCATGTGAGAGAAATAATAAATAATTTATAATATCATAAAATGAATTTTTTATCAATTCTTTTTCCAAAAATCTTTTTTTTGGGTTTCTGTTACTGTGGTACATGTACGTACAAATAAAGTAAATAACAAAAAATAACTACATCAACTGTTAAATCATAAAATTAAAATTGATATTAACTGGAATACTAAGAAATAAACCATAGTACAGAGGAAAAATAATTTGTGACTTGTAATGATATATTATAACTTTATTAAGCACAAATTACACTCACAAGAGGGTCAAAGGCATAACAATTACATGTATGAACAACAATATAATGATGACATTTACATTCACATCAAAATAAAACAAAATATTAAACACACAACACAACAAATGACCGCAAGTGCCCCCTGTCCTCAGTTCCATAGACGGGTTTAATAAAGGAGCCTAAAGATTTCACTTGCTGAATAGTAGTTGGATTTAGAATATATTTCATTTTGTTATCAGAAAAATCTTTGTACATGTATTGGGTTTTTAAATCGTTAAAAAAGTCATGTCTTAAATCATTATTTATTCTACATAATCAAAAGAAATGGGATTCATCATCCAGAACTTTGCACTTATTACACAGTCTTTGAGGGCGTGGAATATTTTTATATCTTCCAGTTTCAATAGCGTGGGAATGATCACTGATTCTAAATTTGCATATAAGTTTTTTTGTATCAAGATTAGGGTATGTCAAATAAAATTCTTGTTTATATTCAGTTTTTATATGGTTAAACAAAAGAAGTTTACTATTTTGGTCAAGAGATGATATCTTATTGTCATATATTTCTTTATATCTTTGCTGAAGTTCATTTTTATAGTATTTTTTACTAAGAATCTTACAGGCTATGTATTTGTTTTTAGTTTCATCTTTGGGTTTGCTAATATTATTGTCGGACCTAATATGATTTACATATGAGTACCATGAGTATATACCTTGATCATGAAGTGACTTTGACTCTTTAAGTAAATCAGATGAGTTTTCACTGAAAAGTCAGTCTTCATACAAAAGTGACTGTGTGGCAATGAAACAATAAAGGGGGAATCTTCCTACTTCAGATCTAGAGGAAATGTTACTGGCACATTTCTTTATTCCAAGTATAAATTTACAAAATTATTGTGAATTTTTTCACAGGGACTCTTATCTATAAAATTGAGTTTATCCAAAAGAGAATTATTTTTTCTGGCTCCAGCAATTGCATTATAGTATGATCTGTACTCATCCATATACCAAATTTCACAATTATATGTAAGAATAGGACGAACCAAAGAATCAAATAAATGAACAGATAAATTTGCTGGCAATTGGTTCAGACCTCTTGTATAGCTTGATAGAGTACATAACTTTAAGACTTTTTTTGGAAAGTGCTTCAGCAGATGACGTTAAGTTTCCATTTTGTGAGAGCAAGTTGACTAAGAACTTAAATTCATTTATTAATTCTAAAACAGTGTGCTTGTAATTAAATATTGTATTTTGCGTCTTTTTATGATGATGACCAACAACCATAGTCTTAGTCTTTTTACAATTAACAGTGAGTTGCCATTTATCACAGTAAGAAGAACATTTATTAAAGCTTTCCTGAAGACCTTCTTTTGATTCTGACATTTTTAATAAATCATCTGCAAACATTAAACTTCCAATAACAGAACTTTCTAAAGTTAGTGGTTGACAACCATTTCCTGAGAATAACTTTGAAACATCATTTATATCATGTTATATATATGTTAAAAAGGGTAGGGCTTAAAGAATACCCTTGCCTAACTCCTCGGTTTATATCAAAGTAGTCAGTAAAACAATTGTTAATGTTCAGTGCTGACAATGTCTTAGAATACATACATTTTATCATATTAGTCATCTTATTGCCCACTCCTGAAGACAAAAGCTTAAAAAATAAAGCTTTACACCACACAGAACCAAAAGCTTTGTGCAATATCAAATTAAAATTATTTTTTGCATGAACCTACTATTATAGTTGTTATCAAATATCAAGATGATTGGAGACACCCACTACCTGGATAATTCTTTTTTTATTTCAATTTTTTATTTAAATTTAAAACACATGCAAAAATTTGTTTTCTTATTCAGTTGACGTATTTATTAGAACTATTCAAAATATGTCATTAGTATACTCTGATTAAACTTTTATTGAAAAAAAAGACGAATGGTTGTTTTAAGTCCAGTGGCAATTTTAAATGCATATTCAGGACGAGAGCATGTTGATGTTAGATGAATTGAACTAGACTGACACACTGAGCCGAATTTTTAACATGCTAGTTCACATGATAACAGTCCACAGGGAAGTGATGTCACCCTAAACAGACACGTTATACTGACTCTGAGTTGACTAGTCTTTGCTTTAACTCCTAAATGCTGCGTGCATAGCAGAGAAGCAGCAAATACTAATTTTCAAGTCTTTGGTTTGTTTTTGATATGATATGATTGATTTTCATATTGTTAAAATTAATGTTAAGACCAGATATCATTAAAATTGATATAGCTGCACATCACTTCAATTCTATGTTTATGATTTTCTAATTCAAGGATTTTCTTAGGAATGTTTTTTTCCAAAAAAAACTTTTTCCCATTTTTGTTGCTTGAATTGAAAGTTTATTTGAACAATGTTATGATCAGATTTTTCATATGGAATATATATTGTTTTATTTCAGTGCTTCATGAAATGGTGTATTACATTTTAGCTTAAAAATCATTACGTTTGCATGCAGCTTTTGATTACATTTGTGCACATTCCAGGTAAATACTAATTTCATAGGCCTTGTAGTTATGTAGGCTTTAACTTTTTTCTTTACTACCAGTTTTTATCCTGCCTTTGCAATTCTTCACTGTACATAGCAATGAAATATCCCCTGACTTTAGTATTCTATCGACACAGAAAGTAAATCCATCCTTCACTAATAATTTTTCCCCTGAGGTGTTTCTGCTAAACGAAACTCCTTGCTTGTCTTTAAGTGGCACAACTTTACAAACTGACTTGAATTATTTACATGTATGCCTTAAGCTATTACGGGATTTCTCATGATCACTTTATATTTTTTTTAGAATTCAATATGAAAAATATATAATTCAATTTAAGTTTACAAATAAGTTCCAAAATAATAACTGTAGTCATATATATTATGATTTTATCTTTATTTTTACCTACATGTAGGTTACCTGTGAAATAAATCAGTGCAAATGTAATCAAATGCTGCACGCAACCATAAAAAAAATTGATTCCCAAATGCCCGCAAATATTATGCGCCATCATGAACACCAACTTTTAACCATGTTTATTTAAAATTTCATAAGTTACATTGATTAATTTAATTACCTGTAATTATCTGATACACAAATAACATACTATCAAAACAATTCCTGCTTGTCCAACAATTGAACTTCTAAATTGTCCCACAAACATCTTCCCGATTGTTCCACATAATGTCATTCCTTTTTACCTGAATGTGGGACAATTGGGAAGACACCATCAGAAAAACCAAGAAGGCAATTGAGAAATCTTTATACACTTTAAATTTATAAACAATTAAACACTATATATTTTTATTGTCAAAATAGGAAAAAAGTACATGTATCTTTTACTGAACGAGAATATAAATACATTGGTTCATTGTCAAGATGACTTTGTAAGGATTCTTTTTTTGTATCATAACATAACTCGCTGTGATATAGCCTTTTTGTGCTGAGGTTGCATAAAGCAAACACCAATCAATCAATATCATAACATTATGATGGATCAAAGGTTTATCTATTCCAAGATAAAAATCAATTTCTTATTGATAATAATCCTTTAAGAAATTCTAACACAATCAAGCTTTTTCCTTCCATGAACATGTAATACATACATTTGTAACATAACTTAAGTTATTTTCTATTTTTCATGTTATATTATATATATGTAATGGTGGTCACTTTGTTTACTTGTTAATTATACTATTTATACATGTGTTATATGGGGACATTGGTTAATATTAGTATTATTTATAGTTTCGTAACTCTTTCTCCCGAGACCGTTCATGTAATTATTCTTGTCGGGACTTCCTATTTCTTGCATGTGCCTGACATCCCAGCCAGACTCGTTGTCCCTAGGAACTATAAGTATGACGTCACTCACCGGGTTCAGGGCAGTCTACAGCTTAGGATTTGAAATGAGCAGATGCTCATACTTTGGCTTGCAGATATGGAACCTCTATTTATACAACAAGTAGACTAGCCATCACTTATATTATATTTATTGTATGTAAACTTGTGTTCTAAAACCGTATATGTCTTTAAAATAAACATCTTGTTTATATACGTAGTTACTTGTCCAATATCCCAGAACTTGGGTAGACAACGGGAAGACAACGAAGTCAGAAGGGAAACTCACTCCCGTTACATATAGAATTGAGAATGGAATATATATATTGAAGATCTTTCAGTATTTTCTAGCATTGTAAAATTGAGAATGGAAATGGGGAATATGTCAGAGAGACAACAACCCGACCAAAGAGCAGACAACAGCCGAAGGCCACCAATGGGTCTTCAACGCGGCGAGAAAATCCTGCACCCGAAGGTGGTCCTCAGCTGGCCCCTAAATAAAATTGTGTACTAGTTCAGTGAAAATGGACATCACACTAAACTCCGAAACCTATAAATGAGCTAAAATTAAAAAACATACAAGACCAACAGTAACAAAGGCGCAATTGTTACAAGAGCTGGAAATACAGTTAGTATTATAATTTGCCAGGAATTCTGGTTGAACATAACTTGAAGGCAGCTTTCAGACTAAAATAAATCTGAATAAGACATTATTTTTAATCAAGATGCTAAATTTTGTAAATAATGTTAATTTTAATCATTTTTTTTTGTATTATACATGCACAGATTTTCAAATTATATATTATTCTTTAACATTTACAAGATAACTAAATTATTGTAAATACCACGTATGCGCAACGATAAGTAATCTTCAGAATCCTGAAGTTTTGTTGTACAACTGAAGAAGAAGAAGTTTGTTTTCACACTAACTAAAGAAAAGAGTACATAATCCAAATTAAACATTACCATTCTTGTGGTCTGATTTTCTTGTCTGTTACGGTTTTCACGAGTGCAAGATCATACTTTTTTTCAGCCATCTAAAACTAATTATGGTATATTTTCAAAAATACGATAAAAATACTCATTTATCAACAGCATAGTTGTTGCTATAGAATTACTTCCGGTTTTACTTAATTGGAACGTTCTAAAAACGTTATTCGTCCCGGTAAATACAAAGTGCATAACAGAGTAAGCTGAGACTTAATATGAAAGTATAATAGTCCCAGGAGTAAGGAATGTTTTTTATTGAAGCAGCCAGAAATTTTTAACGTTTTTTTTTGTTAATGATCGATAAGATGACTTTAAGCCTAATTGTCTTCGAATTTTGCTAAAATTCAACAATATTTTCAAACGGATCTTTCCACCTACTCTTAAGATTTGTTTGTGTGACTAGTACAGTGTACGAATCTCAGTTTATAATTCGTTTTTAAGGACTTTTCTTGTGGTGACATAGTCTATGTTTTATTGAATCTTTATTTATAGTTTTACGGAAAACAAATTTGCAAAATGCATTTTTTCTAAGAATTTCAGTTGATGATTTTTTATTATTATTCAAGTTTTTTAAGATGAGAACGTATTTATAGTATGAAGCCCAATGCTTATTAATATAGACATGGCCTCTTAACCACAAGCCCGGGACTCACCGGTTAGCAAAATGTTTGATTAATGTTTTTTTTCTAGTTTTTATTTCTTATTTCCCTCTATCTTTTTTATGTATTGTGTGTTTCGTGTTTACATGTAAAGTTTGCATTCTAACCCGTCAGGGTTTTACTTTTTGGAGTAAATTTATTATTATATGATCATTAACGTCTTTATATAACGTTGGCATCAATATTTCTTTGTTTTCAGGCTAGCAGTACGGTGCAGTCTACTATCCATCCCACAGGGGATTCGGTTAGCAGATTACAAAATTTCTAATCAATTAATGTTTTTTTTTTCATTTCGTATTTCCTGTCTTTTTTATCATGATAGTCTCTAGGTAAACTACCGGAGAGATACAAAAATTAGATAAACAATAGTCAACAACAACAACAACAAAATACAAAAAAAAACAATAGAAAAATAATGATTGGGCAACACAAATCCCAAAAAAACCAGAAGCGGAATTATATATATTCCTGAAGGATAAGCAGTTCCTGATCCACTAGTGACACCCATCGTGCAACTCTACGAACATGTGACGAGCCAAAATCATGTATAACAAGGCGTCATAAAATAGACGATTGGTTAATTTTCTTGTCTAGCCCTAGCTTAGGAAAAACCAAATACATTAACCGTCGGTACAATTCAATGTATCCCTGAAACTGGACCGAGCGCAGAATATTGATATGTTTAATACAACTACATAATAGACAAGGTCGTAAAACTACATGAATATTGAAAAAAAATAATTTTAACAAATTGTCGTACACATGCACATAAAAAAAAACAGAGCAAAAAACCGATAAGAACGCCTTTAAAACAAATATAAGGATGAACTCAAGTGCCTACGGAAGGGTTAACAGTTCCTGCTAAATGTAATCCGTATTACAATGAATACTATTTTCCTTTCATTCCAGAAATAAATAATTTCACCAAATATTTGCGATTTATTCTTACGATTGTGCTTTTAAGGCAAGAGAAAGAAAAGGTGTAGTTACAAAGAATATTTAGATAAAGAGTGTTGTTCTTTAGTTTGTCGGTCTTGGAAATATTTACATTAAATCTAAGTTTGTTTTAAGGTTCAGACAATAATTAGATATGTGTGACCTAATAAACATTTTGTCCGCGGGCCAATACTTTCTTGCAGAATGTCAGTCACGTTCCAATTGCGTTTGAGACGTTTTTATAGAAAACCTATCAATCATCATATAGTTCGTTTTTTCAACTTTTTGTTTCGTTCATTGCGTTTTGATTTCGTTTCTCATTTTATCACAAGCCCTTAATAAGACTGCAAAATGCTATTTCAAGTTATATATTCAGACACACAAGCTTATTCATTGCGTGCGGAAAATATATTTCAAATTTTTTTCTTCAAAATGATAACTTTTTTAAAGAATGAAAACGCATGATCTGTAAAGTTTCTCAAATTTAAGAAGAATGCGCTATTTTAATATTGTGAAAATTCTATGTATCACGAAAATTTTCTGTAAAAGTAAGACATTACTAGCAAGTCGAACCTTTCCTACCTTTTATTTCATTGATAACAATAGCATGAACTCGTCCAGTGTCCTGTTTGATATGGTCAATTAAATTATGAGTAAAAAGAAATGCAAGTTAACCGGTTTTCAGATAAACAGAATAAAATTATATTTTAAAGGCAATTAAGTATTAGGGTCTGTACTCTTCAATTTTTAAAGCCATTTTTCTCTATTCTTTATTAATTTTGCCCATTATTATTATCTAGTTTGTAACCCTAAATGCGCGCAAATGTAATGCGCCCATCCAGGCCCTCAAGTTTAAGAACATTGGTTTTTTTTATCAAATTTATATAAAAATGAGTAAGTAAATTTGTTCTACTTTAACTTTCACTACAGAATGAGAACAGAAAGCTAAAGAAAATTCATAGTATAATTGTTAATCCACAAACAAGAGCAATTTTATAATTTCATAAAGAATTTTTTACTTCAGAACTAGAGTTGCCTGTATTTTTCAGCAATTGACAATGTCTTTATATGATCGGTTACAAACAAAACTTTACGACATAAGAGATGACTCCAGCTTCCCAATTGTGAACTTTTCTTTCCATTTCTATATGAGAAGCATTCCAGCAGCGCCTGCATATGGAATATATATCTAGCTCCCAGTTGATACGATATTCCAGGGCTTGCGTTTCCTATCATCATTTCCTTGATAGATGGTTGCTGCTTATTGTAAGAGATAAATTAGTCCAGTTCATTTTAAAATATTTCTAGGTAAAAAAAACCCGCCCTAGTCCAAATAATTATGACGTCTCACGTCGTACATGCAGGCGTCACAGAAAAAAAAATGAAGCCTTTCAAGACGTCATAATTATTTGGATTAAAAACGTCCATGTCCTTTAATTTCCTAGGAGAATTTGTAATGAAAGAAATAATTTACATGTAAACAATGGAATGTTTAATTGTTATATGCTTTTCAACTGTTTAACAGTTGTGCATTAAATTATATAATGATCATTAATATTTCACTATTTTGTTAAAATACGGGTGTTTTTTGGTAATTAAGCGGACTTTTTTTCGTAGGAAAATTGATATCATAGACTTTAATGATGTACACAATTAAAAATGTTCCTATCTTAATTTTAATACTGATTCATTTAAAGAATGTCTTAATTTTACGGACGCCATCACGAGTTGGTCGACCGTTATGGAATATCTGTTTCGAAGATGACGACGGTTGTGTTCCAATCGTCGTAACCACAATCCCGTCCTCCCTTTTCCTGAATGTGACCTACCAAATTAGACATATCACTGGGTTTGTATTTACATGAGCAAACCTGACAACGGGTGTCACATGATTTGTAGCAGGATCTGCTTACCCTGCCGGAGCACCTGAGATCACCCCCGGTTTTTGTTGTGGTTCGTGTTGCCCTATGTTGTGTTTTGTATATTGTATATTGTTGTTTGTCTTTTGGTCTTTTTATTTTTTTGCCATGGCGTTGTCAGTTTATTTTCAGCTTATAAGTTTGAATGTCCGGCTTTGGTATCTTTCGCCTCTCTTATAGAAGATACTCCATTAAACACCATATATCAAAGCCAAGTCGAAACGGGTACCAATAAAGTTTCTATTTTCAATTATTAATAAATATTCTCATGAAATTGTGAGGGAGAAAAAACACCTAAAAACTGAAAACCCTTTTGAATCAGGGTGTTGCTAAAAGGCGAAAACGGAATACGGAACGGAAAACGGAAACAGAAAGAATTTACATCTTCTCTTTTTGGTTAGTTATTTTAATAGGCATGTTGTTTATGGTATATCACATGTTTACAAGAAAGAAAAACAGGAATAAATTTCAGGAAAAAGATTTGAAAGCATAAAGTATTGAAATAAATGGCAGGAGGTGATGTTCCTATATTTTTAAAATATTTAATAAGAGCATGCATATTCTACGTAATTTAATTGCGTAAACCAATTGTTCCATAAGTTCATTTATTTTATATTCTACTCTTGCACTTGAGACCATGAACGTACGTCGTTCATGCGATTCACTATAGTCTGTTTGACTTTTTCTGATTTTCAAAACAAAAATAAAGATAGTAAAAAGATATGTGGGATAAACTTCAATAAGACAGTAACCCAACAACACAAAAAAAAAATCTACACACGGCCTAAAAAGATGGACATTCACCTCGATTCTAGATAGGTTGTGGAGTAATTCATTTTTGGGGGAAATGCTTTTCATCAATGTTTTCTTTGTTTCTTTTTAATTGCTTTGAATTATGGTTAGTGATGTGGTGTATTTCGTTGTGTTGTGTTCTGCATTGGTGACTGGGGAATAGAAATATGGTCACTACAGGTCTTCTTCCGACCGGCAGTAAAACCCTTGCCAAAGTGAGGCTTCCGTTTGGCTGTGCGGGGTGTATCAAGTACGCAGCCACGTCCGGTTAGAATGGGGACGTTAAATCCACTGCCTCGTGTAGAGATATAGTGACACGCTCTCTGCACGTTAAGAACCCTTGCAACAACTCATTGAGGGGTCCGTAGATGGCCTGTTGTAAGGCAAAATTTCTGTCCATATCCAATTTACCCTCATTTTTAAGTGGTAGTCTAAATTTCCCTGACCTTCATCCCGGCCGGCCTCTATTAAAGGACCTACCTATTGTATTTATTGTTAACTTGTTCTCGTCCTGAACATGCATGAAATATTTGGCACTGGACGTTAAGCAACCAACAATCAATCAATGTTCTGCATTGGTGATTTTCCTGCTATCTTTTCTTGTAAAATGGGAAAAAAACGTAAGAGAAACCCGATGGGACAATCAAGTATGGACAACAACCGATATGGAAACCTGGGAACTAGACATAGAAACTTGGATACACTTTATTTTTATGTAAAACTTGACAAAATCAATCACTATACAAAGGCTTTCTCACCCGATTACAATACTGAGGTACGTTGTTGGTATTAACGTCGGGAAAACATTACATTATGGTCTCCTAGACTGTAAT